ATTTAACTGGAAAGTTGAGGGGAGAAAGAGAATTTTGAACCACTGCACTGCACACTTGAAGTGCAGTGAGCATCCGTAGAGGTGGGCTGGAGCACAGCCAGACCCGGGAGAGCACCGTGGGCACGCGAGAGCGAGGAGGCCCTCTGTTCTCACGGGCAGCTCACGGGTGCAGCTCGCACGTGTGCCTCCCACGTGCAGATCACTGAAGCTCTAGCCTACGGAGAATCATTTCAGTCTTAAAGAGGTGCATGCAAGTATTCATATTTAGTGTAAGGCATTTAAGTAAACGACCTTTGACTGATACAGTCTATAGTGTTTATTGATAATGTGCAGTTTATAAGCATTATACAGTTTCATGCTGATAAACACCTAAAATGTTTGAGCCTGATATGTCAGTGTGCCAAAAATAAATTACTCCTCACAAAGAATTCCGGGGCAGTTACGTTTGTCTAGTCCTATAGTGGTTTTTTCTCTGAAAAAAAAATGTGATCCTATTAAAGCAATTAACATGAGGAAATGGATACGCACACAAACTTACTAGGTGATTTTTAAAAACTTTTCAGATATTTTGTTGTCTTCCTTAGAAACAGTGCCTCAGCACTGCAGGGCAGGTAATTTGGTCCTACAATGGAGGCCCTGCGTTTGGATGTGACAGGACAGACACATGCTATATTTCTAGCTCCTATATATTGCCGGGAAAAACAGCCTGAAACCTGCACAGCTGGAGCTTGGAGCCCGCAGCCTCCCAGTCCCACCCGGCCCACCTGGCCTTCCCTGTCCCCACTGTCACTGGCCCACCTCGTAGCAGGCGCTCATCATCCGGTTCTGTGCGGAGGTGACCCAGGCGGCCCAGGCTGCGGGTGAGCGCAGCATCGCGTCCCCAGTAGTCCCCATAGAGGCCAGCGAAGAGCTCACCACCTGCATGGAAAAGCCCACAAAGCAAGTCAGGGCCCATGACCCTGAGGACAGGCTGTGAACAAACAGGGGGCACAGCAATTCACCTTTTAACACACATCAGCCCAGGACGCGGATGCCCGGTGGAGTCCTGCGGAGGCCACCTACCGCTGTGGGAGCCAGGCCACTGGCTTGCCCTTTCTGCCTTGCCCTTTCTGCCTCGACCTCTCCTTTCAGTAATAGGAAGAGAAGAAAGTACTCAGTCGTCACTAGAGCAAAGCACTTGGGAGAGGAGCTGGCAAACCCTAGGATCTGGTTCTGGCCTGGGCGGAGCTTCCCTTGCTTCACTAACAAGGCCTTCCTGTCCGCTGGGCTTCCTTATTGGCGAGGGTATGGGGTGTGTCATCTGTGTGTGCTCACTCTGCCCTCCTTGGGTCAAGAGAGTGCAGCCATCGTGATGTTGTGCAGCGCCGAGAGGCTGCCAAGGATGCATCTGACACCACCACCTGCTGTTCAGTCTGCTCACCAGGGAGCGGGGAGGCTGGATGACGCTCACTACCACACAGTGGCCACCAGAGACTTAACCTCAGAGGGTTAGAGCTCTAGGAGCTGCAGAGCAGGCAGGATCTCTAGAAGTTGCAGAAAGTACAGGGTCGACCATAGCTGGAAACATCTTTTAAAACAACCTGAAAATCTGAGGGGACAATTTGGAACCCCAGCAGGACCAACACCCAGCAGGCACTGGGGCCTGGGGTCCTGCTTGTTCAGCTGATGCAGAACAGTTGCTATGCCGTCAGATTTGCCGCTGTCCAGGGTGCCCGGTAGTAGGGGCAGTCCCTGTCCCAGAGAGCGGTTCCAGCCCATCCTGGGGACAGTGACCTTGGATGGATCATTTCCTAGGGAGTGTGCTACAGCTCGGGGTAGGGGGCTCAAAGATATGGAGATGGTGACTGTATGTTATGTGACCCACATTTTATGAATTCTGAAATCTGGAGTAGTGTTTATACATGCACAGGGTATTTCAAGTGCCTGTTTAGACAATGCAAATTAAATTTACTCCCAATTCAGCATATTGAATTAGATAATAATGAAGGAATTATGATTATTTATGCATATGTATAAACACTTGACCAAATGTATAAATGTAATTTAAGAGAACGATTTTATTCATTTTTTATAAATTATTTAAAATTTTATCAAAGTTTCTTCCCTCTGGTGAGACCTTTAAGACTTGTAAAGAATATAAAAGATTAAGTGTGTTTATATGATTTAAAATTTGAGAAAGTAATTAATTGAGTTATGCATAAGGCATTGTGTAGCAAAATTTATTCTCAACTTGGGTTAGCTATCCTTTTTTAAGTGATGATTGTTTTAGTAATTTCAGATTTAGGAATGTATTACAATACAAATTAAACTCAAAGATTTAAATAAGTTTCAGAAATATCATTGCAATAAGCTATATTTCATTTTATAAAGACAAGCAATTCTAAATAGTTTTGTTTTTCTGTTCCAAAAATCCACTATGGATGTGTAAAATTTAGGGCATAGAAGAATAAAGTCTAGGTTCCCCACAGAGGAATTCATTGTCGAATTACATTTTGATGTAAGAGACAGAAAAGTAGCCATGGCAGAATCTCCGCACTCAGGATCAAGGCCCAGGAACGTTAGTGCAGTGCAGGGATGCACCTCACTCAGCTGGCTACGTGTCAGAACGCGGGACACACACGTAGCAAGAGAGACGCACTGGTTAAGATCTTCATACCTACTCAACACTTGGCAAGTGACAAGTATGGAAATAAGGAAATTTAAAACCATAAAAATACACAAAATCTAGACTTCAGAAAATATAGTTTAGTGGACAAAAGTTGTATCACAACTCTCACTCACTTTTGATGATAAGATTAATATAATTATAATTAATATAATACAATTATAATTAATATAATTATTATGGTTTGTGTCTAGTTGTCCCCTCAAAGCCTAGTGCAGTCATGGGGTGGGCTTCTAGGAGTTTGTGATTAACTCCTGATCCACTGGGATTATTGGTGTGAGTGCTACTGGGATTACTGCTGGGATTACGGGTGTGAGCGCCGCACCCAGCCTGGGGTGGACAGCCTGAATGCAACATAAGGGAGGCAGACTTGCCCTCTGCAGCCACTGGTGCCGCACTTCTCCCTTTTGCTCCTGCTCTTTGCCACCACCACGGAAGTCTGCCCTCTGCCGTGTGCTACTCTGCCCTGGAGCCTGCTGAGCCTGCCTGAATCCTCCAGTGACTGCGAGCTAAATAACCCTTTCCTTCCTTCATTTTGGGGGTCTGGCATTTGCCTCAGCAAGGAGAGAAGAGTAACTGAGACAATAATATACATGAAAGATAGAAACTGCTCTCTCTACCAGGAAAGCTCCACAAGGGGCAGGGGTGGTGGCGAGAAGACACGCCCAGACTTCTCCAGCCCTCACTGGGGGAAAAAAGGGGCTCCGCTGCGCTAAGAAGGCCAGGAATCGGCAGCTCTGCGGCGCGGGGAGCTGAGCAGGCTCATAAGAGAAGAGACTGTTAAGATGACAGATTGAGGGTTTATCTCAAGTATTTTTTATTAGATGAATTATATTTTTCGTTAAAAGTATGAATGCCACCTTATAAAACTACTTCAAACATGATTTTCTTCTGTGTACCTGGCTGAATTTTTCATGCATAATTTGTATGAAGAGACAATTTCCTAAAAATATGAGTTTTCTATTAAATTTTATATATAATGTAGTTTAATTCCTTAAAATATTCTAGAACTTTCATTATGATGGATCATAATAGTTATATTACCGCACATCGTTTAGAACTTTAGTTCAAAGTTGCTTCAATCAATGCTGTAAAATTAAAACTACTCTCTCCAGCCACTAGAGGGCAGGCATGCGATACCAAAAAGCAACCTATCCGGGCAGGTTATCTGCACAAAAGATGATATAGTTCCAATTTTACTCAATTTCCCTTTTCACACTCAGATAAAAGAAAATAGTTTGTGAACAATTCAAATACCACAGCAGGAACTGTAGGAATTAAGCTTCAAAGAAGTTCGGCAGATGCTGAAAACGGAACCAAATGTGCTCCTCTTGCGAATGCCGGCTTCCGGAGGCAGGGGTGCCCCTTGCGCCCCGCGTCGCCGCGAAGGAGGAGTACCCTGGTATGGCGCTGGCAGCGAAGCTCCTTCCTAAGGATGGCTGGAAGCGCGGCAGCGCAGTCGCGAGAGCCAGCGCTTCGGATCCAGCAAGCCGTTCCTAAGCCCAGCTGCACGACTGAGTGTACTCAGGGACGTCCTAAGCACGGAGACTTTTCCCATTACTGGAGGCTACGTGAGAATATTTTGGCGTTGTACACTGTACAGAAATAACATCTAGAGAAGTCATATTTTCATGCATTAAAAAAAGAAACTAAATAAGGAATGAACTATATTTTGGGGTTTTGGTGATGAAGGCAGATTCATCCAATGATTTTTAGTTTTAAATGTCTATGGAGATATGCCAATTATCTAAGGCATAGATTTCATTGCTATCTAATCTGATATTCTAAAAATAAATGATCTGATTTCTATTTCATGATTGGCTGACTGACTGAGGTAGGAGGATGAAACCCAGGGCTTTCCACCTAAGTAAGCTACGTTTCCATTTCTTTTTACTTTTTATTTTGTGACAAGCTCTCATTAAGTCACCAAATTTCCCAGGTTGGGCTCAGATTTACGGTCCACCTGTCTGAACCTCCTCCCACCCTGCTGGGATCCCAGGCATGCACCCCTGCGGGATTTGCTTTTTATGCCATGTATTATTTTTCATTGTTATGGTTCTGTCTTCTGCTGATGATCGATGTTATATTATTTTAGGTCACCAAGTACAATTATAATTTTTCAAAATTAAACAAAATTCGGCAAGCTACTTTGACTTTAGCATGGCCATTGTCACGGTCAGTGTGCAACCAACTCCGCACTGCAGATCTAGGAAATTCACGTTCCCAGATCTGCGACTTGACTGGGCCGGAAGTGTTTAACAAAGGAAGGCGCTGGGGGGTCTGCGCAACCAGGAAGGCCCAGGGCCTTTCGCACCCTGTGAGTTCTCGCGCTCTCCGCCGCCCTCTGCTCAGAACCCTGTGTGTGCTCCACGCAGCTGTCTGCCCACTCCTCGGACTGACCACACTGCCGATGGCTCGGTGGCCCCTGGCCCACCACAGCCCAGCCTCCGTCCAGCTCGCTGCTGAGTTGAGGCGACTCCTCCCCGCCTGCCACCCTGCCTGGCATCTGGGACACAGAATACGCTGGTTGAATCAGTGCCCAGTAAGTGAAGTGACAAATGGATCCCAGAACTCTTTTGTGGTGTTCAAAACTCTGTGAAATATAATATAAAACACTCAGGACAAGATTATGATTTTCAGAATTGCTTCAGGGAGAAAATACCTGTAGAAAGCTATCAGGTATTCACGCAAATAATGGAGATCTTGAATTTTCATTCCTAAGGGACACTATGTCATTTAACAAGTTGCATCATAAATCCAGGAACTGTATTTTTTCTAACATTTGTCCTCTGTAGCGTCAGCCCCAATGAACTTTATGTGGATTAAAACGATATGCATACAAATTGCTTGTGTGAAAGAAAATAAGACCCCAAAAAAAAAAAAAGAAAATAAGACAATCATCGGATTCTGAGCAAAGTGCAAACACATATCCATTCAGAGTAATTCTAAGGGAAAGTATGCAACTAAGATAATTTTCAACCTAACTTCTGTTTTATAGTATAAAACCTATTCAACTCTAATTGAAATTACCTAAACATATGAATGTTTTAACATTTTGTGACGCTAACCATGAGTTTCAGTCACAGATTTTATTCAGCATGTTGGGACACTGATTTTAATTATTTAGCAAGAAAAGCGCACCGTCAGTGGGGCTTGGCCTTGCTGTCTCGGGTGTCTTCCTGCATCTGTCCCACTTGCGTTTTCCAAGCGCATTCTCTAGTCAGAGGAATGCGGAACACGGTTGCCTCGAGGA